AGCCCATGTGCCGTCTGCACTTTTATTTTGTAGTTAGTGACTTATTGAAAATAAATCCTTTTCAAAACTTAAAACTGTCAGCAGTTAGTTATATATATATATATATATATATATATATATATATATATATCTATATGTGTATATGCTTAGTCTTCTAAAACATAATGATAACGTTTCAATGAAAATAAAGACTACAGTATACAGCGAGATCGCTTTAAGTAATACCTCGCCATTTTCAAATGAGCAAATCTTGCGGCCGGTGAAGGCTGTTGGCGTAAGTATTTCATTATGGAATAAGTCTGGCCCCTGCATTTTGATCGCTCCGAGACAGATTAAACAAGCAATTGTATATCCTTTTTCATGGACGTCAGAACTTGTGGATGAAATGTGGAAAGGGAAAAGAGCGGTCAACTGGTGGTTGGATTTTACTCTTGCCTTCTTTCGAAAATGAAGATTGATTTGAATGTCTAATAAAATTATGTGTACACGAGGAAAGTTCAAAGCCTCATTAAACATTTTGCTGGCAAAGTTTGATGAACGCCAGTCTTCATGTCAGATCAAGAAACAAAAAACTATTATTAGTCGGGTTCCTGAAAAGGAAACAATTTATTTTTTCTTGCTCGACTCAATATTGTGTTTTCATCGATTAAACTTTTGCAGGGTTATACCTCGATTCGCCCTGTTCACGTCGTGATTAAAAAATTTACTCTCAGCTAATAGTTCTAACCTAAAAGAAAGGAATAGAGAAACAAAAGTTGTTTGAGAACAACCAAGCATGGCAAAACATTGAGCCCCAACATAGAAAAGCAGATTACCAACTTATCCCAGCACGAATTTAATCAAATAGGCTTTTCGACTTCCAGAAACAACCACATGCAACTTGCATTTTCAGAATACAGTCTTCTTCCTGGTAGATCTAGGTGGAGTGAAAGCATTTATTATGATCATAATTCTAACTTGAAGCTCCGCCTTTAAAAAAAAAATACAGTACTGTATATTTCTGGTAGATTATGTGGCTTTCAAAGATGAAGTTCGCGGTGCGTCAAAATGTTCCATAATTGGTTTAGAAAATCTTCGCTACCAGTTCCCCATCGATCAAAAGATAGGTAAAAACCAATCGCTGATTGGTCACTACCGTTTTCCCACCTTCTCGTTGGCTCCATTTTTATCCTTCTGACCGTCGTAATCATTTTATGAATTCAATTATTTAATGTCTTATTTCGGTGGTTAATTATTGATTAGGTTAGTATGCTTTCCAGTTGGCATCAACTTCGACCTTTCTTCGTATCATTCCAATAAATGAATATTTCAATTTTTCAACCTTAGCTGAGCCTATTTCAGTAGTATCATTCCATTAAATAAATATTTCAATTTTTTTAACTTAAGTCGAGCGAAATGAGACTTTGACAGTACTGCTACAGAAGAGATGTCAAATTTTATATTTCTCTAAAACAGTCCTGTGGAGTATATATACTGTTACGAGTACAGCTGTTATATAAATAACGTGCGTATTAAAGCAAAATTTTGCAGTAAGATAGATTTGCAACAACTCATAGGATGAAATGTTATTAGAAGAAAAAAGTGGTAAATTGAAGCCTAGAAAACTTAGAAGCTAAACCAGCCATACTTTAGTTCGTTTCATTCATTTTCATGACGCTTCTTTCTTATGAGGATGCTATCTCCTTCATCGAATCAATCTTTGCGAAAGCACGATAAGAAGATATCAAAACTTGCTGCTAATATGGAGAAAGATTTAAAAAGCATTATCTTTCAGCTGAAGTAGGAAGAGTCTAGGAACCCTTTAAGCGAAAACGTATGTGATCAACCGTCGTGTAAAGATTCTTTTTTTATTTTAAAAAATGTCCTTTCTGCCTCTTTGTTAGTATCGAAAAACCAGCGCGGCAATCAAAGGGCACGAAAAAACTGTTCTTAAAAAGCTGGTCTTGTCAAACGACCGCGCGGGAAAATTTCTCTGTGAATCACTGTGCAAACACAGCTTGTCTACACAACAACAGACAACTTAGAATCGAAACTTTCTGCAAACGCCGAATTTTTTTCGGCAAACTCAGTCAATCTTTCAAACAATTTTGTGGTTTAAAGATACCGTGTTAACAATAGAGGAAGTTGAAATCATTCTGAATATTCAGGATACTATCTGCTACTCAATTTTCGCCGGCCTTTCCAGCAGATTTTCACTTAACTTAACAAGAGCTTTTAACCAATTTTACTTCCTCAAAAGCCGTTCAAGTGCTACCAGAGTAATAAGGGTGTGTTTTCGGTGTTGCATAAGTTTTCCCGTAAGTAAAACGCGTGTAAAGAAAGCCCACGCAAGCAATTTCCACTGCTGCGTAAAAAACGCGTGCGAAAAACGGTGTCACGGTCGTAAAAGTTAAAAGCTGTTAAACTCTACGCCCCCAAGATTGCCACGTGCGTAATACGCACGGAAACGTCTTGAAAACAACCTCGAAGTGGAATTATGGGAACGTTT